TTGACTCTTTTTAAATATAAAAAGTGTATATTGATGAGTATCCTATTTTTATTCAAATAAATATAGATATTCATAAAAATATTATTTGATGAGCTAATTATATTGCTTTTTTTTTTGGCATATATCTCATTATCTAAAATAATTATAATGGCCAAAATTAACAATTCACTCTATTATTTCAAACTTTCTTCAAAATTTCATTTGTCTTTGATTAAAACTTATTTGCAAATTATTTATTATTGTTTAAGAATTTTCATTTAAATTGTCATAAATATTTGAATAATTTGCGTAAAATGAAATAGAAAAATGAGTATCTAATTAAATAATTTCTTTAAATTAATTGATATAAAAAATGCAAAATCATAGTAATGAATGAACAAAACATCTCAATGAGAGAAATTGCAAAATATTTTAACACAACACATGCAAACTTTAGCCGAATAATCAGCCGATATTAAGGACAAAACACAATTTAAAATCTTTCGTGTCCTGGAAGACCTTGCATTTCAAATAAAAGAAATGAACGTTTATCATCTAGGTAGATGATACGTAGATCAGTACTGATCTCAGTCGAAAAGGGCAAAAAGTTTCTGGTGTTATTGGTTGTACTCGAACAATTAGAAGAGTACTACATAAACACAATTACATGTGGCAAGCTGCTTGCAAAAAACCACGTCTATTGATAAAACATCAAAAAGCAAGAAAAAACTGGTGTTTAGCTCATCAAATTTGGTCTATAAGCATGTAGCACAATGTTCTTTTCAAAGATGAAATAAACGTTGAAGTTGATTGAAGAAAAAGTCAAGTAATGCTGAGAAGAAAGGTACATGAGAAAATGGACCCAAATTGTTCTACGTATAGAACAAAAGATGGTGTTGGTAGTATAGACATCTGGGCCTGCATGAAATATGAAGATGTCGGTTGTTTCAAACTATTTAATGAAAAGCTTGATTCTCAAAGATATTTAGACATATTGGATATTTATTTAATACCTGGTGAGAAATGAGCTAGCGACTAGCTAGCTTTATAGCGATTTTCTAGCGATTTTTTTTTTCCTATTTTATTATTTCCTAATGTCTTTAACATCTTTAAAAATTCGATTTTTAGTGTTGAGTCTATTATAATTATGAGGATAATCGAACTTTAAACATTGCGATTTTGTAGCAATGTGTTGCTAGCTACATATCGTTGCTTTGTAGCTAGCTACAAAATATCTACAAATCTATAACTGGTTGATAGCTACATATCAAATTTTTTTAGACAACGACTTTATTACGATATGACGCTAGCTGCAATAGCCAGTGGGTCTTTAGCTTATTAAGCTGACTGTCCTCTTAACCAAATGTCTATCTTTATCTTTACAAATATCGATAGTTTTTCGCTAACTTAAAAAAGCTAGCGATCCTCGTGGCCAAATCGCTGTCTTTATCGTTACGATTATAGCTAGCTATTCGCTTGCTGATTTCCCGCCGGGTACCTTCTATTGACATTTTCCCAAAAGACAATGGAACTCTCTTCAGACAAGTTAATGCCAGATACCGCTAAGATTCGCAAGCAATCGTTAGAAAAAAATAACATTAAAATCATGTCTTGGCCTGCTAATAGTTTAGATCTCAATTAAATAGAGAATTTGTGGTCTTTGTTAAACCACAATCTTGGTAAAACTGAAATAAAAGATCTGGTCCAGCTAAACAAGTTAGTAACAAAATTACTGAATAATGTTCCAAAAGACATTACTCAGAATTTAATGAATTCTATGCCAAAACGTATCAATGAATGCTTAAAAGCAAAAGAACTGTCAACAAAATATGAGTTCTTGTTTTTTTTTTTTTTTATGTTTTGTGAATATTTTTTTTATTTTTTATTAAGGTTTGTTTATTTTGTTTTTGTGGTTTGTTTTATGGCCACTTTTTTTTTTATTTGATATAAATCAACACTGGTTTTAATTTCAGTATTTTAGTTTTCAATTTTTGTTATTTTATAATAAATTTATATTGTGATTATTTGATTTATTTCAATAAGAAAAAACTTAAGAAAAAATCAAATATATTTTTAAAACTTTTAGTTTATAAAATATTTAATTTTCAAACTTGTATTCATGCTAAAATAACATGGATTGTTATTAATGACCAATACTGTTTACTATCAATACATTTTGCAAAAGCGCAATAGGCAAATATAAACTACTGAGTAATTAATATTATAATATAAAATATAAACTTCTCTAATAAATCGCTTAGCTTAGATATTTTTTTTCACGTCTCTATAAAAGAACTTCAAGGAAAATAATCAATTGCACTAGAATGTTCCGCGAATTTTACGAATAATAATACTTTGCTGCAATTGTCGGTGAATTAAACGTATATACGAAATTATCAGACATTAAAGTAAGTTTTATTTTATAGTTTATAAGTAAAAACTAAAAATGCATTTTATATAAAATGCTTAAAAACTAAAGCAACAGCTTAGCTTAAGATTTTCTAGTATTTTACACGGCACAAAAATGCTGTCAAAGTTTTATTTTTTATTTGATTTGATTCTAATAGTTTTCAATCAATCAATCAATCAATCAATCAATTATATATTCTGGAAAAAAGATCTAACTTCCACGGTCGTTACAAATAGTTATAAAAACTAATATAAAGTAAAAACCTCTTTGATGATATAAAACATATTATAGACACATAGTTATAGTTATAATAAAAATAGCAATAAATTTAAAAAACAACAATAATAAAAATAATTAATTGTATAATAATAAGAATAACAATAATAATATTACCAGTAAGTATAATTAACACCCAATAACAATGAATAAAATAAAAACATGATAATAATAAATACAATACATATTTAAAGGAACTGTTAAATAAATCTTTAATAGAAGGCTGTTTATTAAATATGTCAACAAAAATTATAAAAACCAGTAACTAAAAGAATTCAATCAATACAATCTTCCATACAACAATCAATTATATATACATAGTTACAGTTACAAACAGTAATAAACTGACAAAATGTAACTAATAACGATGACATAAAAACGATTATCGAAAAAAGAATACCAAGACTCGATAAATATAACAATTTTAGTTTTTATAATATAATAGCAAAAATAAATTGTAAGTATAATAAACAAATAATTTCATGCTGTATGAATCATATGAAAGTTTTATATTATCATATTTTTTTATGTTATCAAATTATAAATTTTTCATTGGGTTTTGTTTTTTAATAAACCTGGAAAAATTCTATAGCATGTTAAATAAATAGAATTTCTATACATATTTTTTTGTTTCAAATGATTTTTACAAATAAACGTTAAAAGTTTACGTTTTTAGAGTCACATGGTATTAGTTAATATTTAATATATAAAAAAGTGATTCAAATTGGTAATGTAAAAAAACGACATGACTGGAATCAGGATTGTTATCTAAGGACAGTTTATTATAAATAAAGTAATCTAAAAAACAAACTTAGTAATCTAAAAAACAAAGTATCCCTTAAAGTGACAAACAAACAAACAAACAAAAAATCAACTTTATATGAGATGTAACATATGACCTTTTAATCATTATCAGTGGACTGATTTTGTTCTGTCATTATTTGCCTTAAATTTAATGATTGCTTAGCTTAAAAAAATTCAAAATACTTTAATAAAAATTTGTGAACAGCTATATACTATTCTCATTGTTTTACCTTCTTTGTTTCTATGCTTGGATGGTTTGAATGTTTCATATAATAGTATTTCTCCAAAATACATGATCTTGAGCATCTTTTTTTGTTAAATCAATTTTTTATTGTCATCTGTAACACATTTTCTTCAGGTTTTCCTACTTCTGCCTCTACTTCTTTTGCCTAAAACTTTTTATGCTCTACATGCATCTTTACCCTCTAAATGCCTAAACCATTATATGCATATATATATTTTTTAATAATACATCTTTTTATTGTTTATTAAATAGTATACACATTTGTTAAATCAATCTTTGTTGTATTTTTTATGTTTGTTATAAATCATAAATATCAGAATGAACAAAAGTGACAATTCAATATTTTATGAAAAATAAAGTTTTTAAATACTCTTTGAAGTTTTGAATGATTATTATGCTGAATGGGTTATATATATATATATATATATATATATATATATATATATATATATATATATATATATATATATATATATATATATATATATATATATATATATATATATATATATATATATATTTGTTATAAAAGATGGTCTTTTAATCTTATTATTATAATAGACAGGGTAATAATTTGTTAATATTTTATAAAATCTAGTAAAATTGTAATATGATTTGGTTTTAATAGGTTGATAAGTTATATATAATAGCTAAATTTAGTAAGTTATTTCATAATGTTTAAATAAATAGTATTTAATTAACATATTATTTTTTAATTGTTAACTAAATATTATCAGTGAGATATAAGGTGATTTTAAGTTCTTATTTTTTTAAGAAAAAACCAAGGGCTTTTTATTCATTTACCTTTTAAATTATTTTAGAATATAACAATTTTAAAGTGTTTGAAGCATTAATCAAGCAGATTTCTAATCAAAGTAATCATATTATTTAGTTTTAAGACTATAAATATTAGTTGTCTGATAATGAGCATTAATAGTCTGTGTCCACACTTGGGGTAAAGAATGTAAATTGTTAAGTTTTTGTTTGTTATCAAATTTTACATTCAATATTAAACAAAATTTAAAATGATGAAAAAAAAAACACAGTACTATTAAGCATTTTACCTATCAAAAAAATCTGTATTTTTTTTAACTCTCTTTTTTTTAAAAAGTTTAATTTTAATCAAAAAAGATATAAGAATATGTAAAAGCCAAAAACACAAAAACTAAAAAACCTTTTAAGTTTTTGTGCTTTGCTTAAAAATCATGGATGCAAAAAACATGTTTTTTTTACTCTATCTTAATAACTTTATATTTGTTAATAATAAGTTTGCTTTTTGTTTATGAGGTACTTTAAATCTTATTCAAGTTGTTTTGCATGGGATCACCTGCTAAGTAGGAAAAATGACTACTCCAATGTTCGGATGCATAGTTCCTGGCAGACTGGTAGGTTTTAAACATCTTACTGTGTTACCTGTTATATATTTAATAATTTAGTAATGTATGTTTCAAGTTTATTTATTTAAAAATTTATTGCTAGAAATGTTTATATCTTTTGTTAAATTTTCTGTGTCAGATAGTTGGGTCTATAAAAATCTCGACTTACTAAGTTATTCTGCAAAAAGAACATCTACTAAAAAGTGGAACTAATTTTCAGACCGATTTATAACATTTTTGTTTTCAACCGATTTATTTTTTGACCTATTTTATAGACTTTCATTTTTGAACTGATTTGAGATAAATTAATTTCAACCCATTATTTGGTTTGTGTTTTTAATGTTTTTTTTTTTTTTTACTACACACATTTTTGTTTTTAAATTAACAATCAATAAGTTTTTCAAGTATTCATTGAACCTTATATCTCCTGATTCTGAAGACAGCGCTTCAACCACTGCGCCAAGGTTGATCAAATGTGGCTCGTATTCAAATTAACAACAGAATATACAAAATAAATATCAGAATGGCGTAGTTATAAAATTAAAAATACAGTAGATTGAATATTCAATAGGTTGAAAATTCAGTAGAATAAAAATACAGTAGGGTAACGATTTAGTAGGTTGTAAAATAAGTAGTATGCGTTTTAATTAGATGTAAATATAAAAATCAAAATTTATCAGTTGAAAATCAAAATGTCATAATCTACGATTCATGAAGTTTTAAAATTTGGTTGAGTTATAAGCCACCAAATTTTCTTAAAATTGTTTCTTAAAAACTCTCAATTAAAAAAAAATTTAATGAAATATTTTAATTGTAGTATATGGATTATAGAATTACAGGATTTATAAATGTGATATTTTTGTTTCTCTAGTTCTTTAAATATATTAAATATTATACATTTATCTCATTGAGTATGTTTTCAGGTAATATGATATCAGTTATGAAATATGTCTATTTTTGAACTTTAATTGACATTATAATACATATTTAATAATTTATATTTAAAACTTTTTTTAAATAACATACTTTAAAAATTAAAAAATTAATTTTTTCAAAATTTTAATGGTGAACTGAAAACCTGAAATGAAAAACAACTCTAAAATTTTAATTTATAATTTTTGTGAAGTTTTGTGAAATTTCAACTTCAAAAAATCTGTGTTTTAAGTAGAAGTAAATGTTGTTAGTGCTTTTTTTGCAAATAAATTACAAACATGTAAAATGAAAATGACTAATAATAGAATCTAGTTAATTAAGATGATCATTTTAAAGTGCCAAGAACACATTTTAAAATAATCTGTTTTTGATAAAATGTGCTTGTGTTTTTATTTTATGATTTATTTTATGATTTTAATCTTAGCTGTGTAAGAATGCTTCTATAGAGAGAGTGAGACACCATGATACACTTTTGGTTTTTTGCTTCAAAACAATTTTTTTAATACACTTTTATTTTAGGTGATAGGTTTAATTCAAAGAATGAATTTATACTTACAAAATTAAATTTATTAATTACCAATATAACAGGTTAAACTTGTAAAACTATTTAAAGTAAAATTAGAAATATGTATCAAAATACCCCATCCATAGGGTACCTTATTAGAACATCATTAAAAAAGTATAAAATATAACGAAAAGGCTGATTTTTACTTGAAAGACAAACAAATTAATAATTATAACTCAAATAATGCAAACTTGACTGAAAATATTTAAAAAAATGATTTTTAAGATTTTTTATCACAGAATGGATTACTAATCTACAGTTTTAGGGCCCCCCACAATCCTTAGATTTACGTTGTTACTTTTTTTAAACAGCTTTTCGCATAATATTAAAAGCAAGGATTGAAATAATCAGGATGTTATTTGGAAAATGCATATACTAAAAATTTATAAAATTATTTAAATTTTGAAAAAGCTTTTAAAATAGTTTTCTTGTTTATGATATGCTACTTTAATTGTTAGTGGGTAGTTAAAGCAAAAAGTTTGAAAGCGAAAAGAAGTAAAATGAAAATTTTTTCTTTAATCCTTTTATTTTTCAATACTGCCCGGTTTTTATCTTTGTTATAGAAACAATCCAATAAATTTATTTTTTATCAAAATAATTTAATAATTAAAAATTAAAAACTTATTGATAATTTATATCAATATAATTCAATAATTAAAAGATAATAGTTTATTAATAATTTTATATTATTAATTCTTCTACTTATAATATATTTAAGTATATACTAAATTTATCATTGTTAAAACATTTTTCTAAAAATTATTGCAAACTAGTAGTTTTTCTGCTTTAGCAACCCTGAACTCCCTGAATTCCCTTTTTTGACAAATGTATTACATGTAACCAGGGAT